ATCTCACACCTTGTTTAAAACCTGGCTTTCCTTCATGTTGGTTCTTCCGCACCTCTCCCCAGAGAGACTCTGTTCTTTTTCCCATCTATAATAGACTTCCTACACCTCAGGCAAAATCCTGAGGCCAGAAAGCACCCGCCTTCTTGGCTGCACAGCCTTATCTTCCCAGTTGGTCTAGCCTCCCCCCTCCGGCCCCTTCCCCTTCGCGGCAGACCCCTCTCCTTCAAACCCCCATCTATTGGCATGCCAGTGGACTCCCATAGGCACCACTGTGCAAAGGCCAAGATGCCTGGCACATCGTAGGTGCTCAATAAATATTTGTGGAATGAATGGATGGAGAGCCCCCCCTGCAGACTCGCTGGTTCCACCTCTATCCTAACATCGTCTTACCCGGCCTGGAGGGAACTCGACTTTTCCCCACTTGGGCAGCGCCCTCACCACAGAGTCCACGCTCTGCCCAAGCTCTCCAAGAAGTTCATATTGGATTCCAACCATGTTCACCTAGGTGTTCTCAGCCCTCCAGCCCCTTCTGCGCCTGCTGGCTTTGCCTGGCCAGCCTACAACCTTGGAACAGACTGCTCTCTGCCTTCCCAGTCTTGCCCATGAGCTGGGCTGAGCGAGGCAGCGCTTCTGGGCTATGCCCTGGGTGACCCTCTGTGGGTTACCTCTCTGGTGGTCTGCAGTGGTCAGTTGACTGATGGATGGCCCTCTTTTCCTATCTCATACCACCAACCCCCTTAAACCTCTCTTTCCTTCCTTTCCCTTCCAGTTGGCAACAGTCACGGATAAATATCCAGGCCACCACTGTGAATGCTTTCCACTTCGTGACAGCTGCCTGCACCCCTCTCCCAGTATGTCCCACCCCTCATCCTTTTTACAGATAATTCTACCCTCAGCTTTGAGTTTGGGGTCCCCCCCCCAGCCCTCCAGGCAAGCCAGCCTCTACTCTGTACACTTCCATGTTAGCTGTGTTCAAGCCTCTGCTTAGCCTCCCTTCCAGAAGGTTCAAACCTCTCCCCCCAGGCCTCTTCCTTCAGCTAGCAGCTCTTTCAGAAACACCTTCTACCAGGAAGCTTCCGGTATGGAGCAGGCCCGTCCTCTTGCTGCTCCTGCTCGGCCCACCTGCGCAGTCCGCATGCCCGCTGAGTCTGAGAGGCAGCAGCTGAGTTCTTCTCTGCAACACTCCATCTTACACCCTCTTTCCCTTTTACCACCAGGGCAGCATGTGCTCATTCCAATGGTAAGGAGCGTCCGGAGTGGGGAGTCCCTCTTCTGTTACCGAGCCCCGTTCTCTGGGAAGAAGTGGTACCAAAGCCAGTGGGGGGCGCTCTTTCTTATGTGCACAAACACTGGGTGGGGCGGTGAGGAGACAGGTGCCGCTGTGTGAGTTGTTCTGTAGCCTGTTTGCTTCAGTCTGCTTGTCCGCAAAGTTCCGTGTAGGTTGGTGCCCACCTTACCCCTCCATCAAGACTGCATTGCACTTCACTGTATAGATACACCCTAGACCTAGCGATTCCCGGAATCTCAGAAACTGAAGTTTCTCACAGCTGCCATGACTCCCTGGCCCCGTGGAGCCGCACAGCGAGAGCAGCATTTTGGTTAAAAGTAGCTGAAGTGGAATGAGGATTCCTTATACCTAAACAACTGATCCTGTTAACTGTCTCACCAAAACCAAACAAAACCAAAACAAAACAAAAATACAACAAAAACTGCTTTGGTTCTGTGTGGCCCAGCACTGCCGTGTGTAAATGAGCCTCTGCAGGCCCTGAGGGCGGGTCCTTTCCCTAGCTCTGCTTTCCCAGAGAGAAGAGATGTCTCTTCTCTTTCTCATGCCCCATCCCCACCTCCACCGCCCCACGGGCCGGGCTCCCCCTCCCTGCTCTGACCTCAGTTTCCCCAAGAGCTCCAGGTTCCCTCTGGGTCTGTGCTCTCTCTTTCTCTCTGCAATTCAGCCTTGCTCAGGCTGAGTAGAAAGAAGGCTGCTGCGCAACTAAATGAAGGCACCCGGTGAAGGAGGCTCGCACAGGCTGAGGGGCAGAAGACAAAAAAAAAAAAAAAAAAAAAAAAAAAAAAAAAA